TAAAATATAATTAAGATAAATATTGAGTTCTAACATAATATTTAATTGTTATCTTTATAAAAAAATTATATTATTAAATCAAAAATAAATTGCTTTATTATTAAATCTAAATTAAATTATAATTAAAAAATAAATTAAATAAATTACATAAAAACAATAGCTTTTAAATAGTTAATTTGATACTAGTATCCATATATTTATTTTCGAAATCTTATGATATCTTTAAATTTATATTTCATGCAAAAATAAAAGCACTATCTATTTCTCAAAACCATATAAACCGTATTATAACATCTATAGAGACATAATAAAATGGAACATTGAAATGAAGATATATCTCATTGCATTATGCGAATACTCTTCTAGTATATAATAATAATAAGTTGATAACAAAAGTTTAATCTCGTGAATATATTTATGGCTCGTTTAAAAGAATCAATACTCTATGCACATTGGGTTGATGTTAGGGGTCAAATATAAGTATAATAATATTCGTTATAGTTTCAAAATTAATAATATTCGTTTCACTTATGAAAATAATACAGTTTAAAAAAGTTATAAAGTAATGAACTGTAATTTCGGTATAACTAGAAATACTGATATTGTGCTACATCTGGTTTCAATATAAATCTATATACAGTTAGATGATAAAATTTATAAAGCTGTGTTTAATGTTTTGAATATATAAATTTTGTTGATTCCCAGCATCAATAATCCCGCCTTCCCCATTCGGTGACAATCTTGTATTCTTTTGTTATCTTTTAATGCTCCTTATAGTTTCTTTTATGTTGACATAGACATGGCCAAAAACCGATGTCGTGCGGGGCCCAAATTGGTCGTGTGCTGAGACAGTAATAATCCGGATCGGTTCTGGTGTAACCGGTCTCGGTCCCGTCGAAAATGCTAAGGCCCGGTTAAGAGTACTTGTAACCGATTACGGTAACCGGTTTCGGGTCGGGCCCAAACCAGTCCTATATTAGAAAATCATTTTCTTTTTGATAAAAATTTAAAAATATTTTAATGTTATTCTAATAGACTTTAAAATATCTAATTAGATAAATTAAATACACTTAAAAAATACGTTTTATTGTGTTTTATAGTTGGTTTTCAATCAAATATACTTAAAAAATACGTTTTATTATAGTTTTATAATTAGTTTTCAATCAGTAACACTTAAAAAATACGTGTTATCATAGTTTCATAATTAGTTTTCAATCAAATACACTTAAAAAATATGATTTATTATAAATTGTAATTTGATTTTCAATCAAATACACTTAAAAAACTAGAAATTCATATAATTTTTTTTTTTTTGGGAAAAAAAAACTGGGTCGGTCCCGGGCCGGGCCTATAACGGGTCCCAAACCAGTTCCGGACCAGGCTAGGCCGAGCCTTGTTTTTAGATGAAAACCATAACCGGCAGTTCCAAACCGATCCCAATTGGTCTCGGGCCGGTCCTAAGTTGGTCCCAGTCCTCCGCCGTTCCCGGGTCGGGCCCATCTGGCCATCTCTATTTTGACATGATGTCCATTTTCATATTGATTTTAAGTTGTAGCCTACTGAAACTAAAATTATATGCATAGGGATGAGTTTACGTGAGACAAAACTGTTTTCGTAAGATACGATTTTTACATTTGAAACTTCACAACAAAATGTTGTGAAGTTAAAAAAGGCCAATATGTGCCCGTTTGATCATGAAACGACCGTACACACCCTCCGAAGACGTCTCGGCTCCCCAGGACCCGACCCTGGAAAAATCTCGGGCTGTAAAAGTTCATATCCTTGTTCAGAGCGAATCTTCACAGCAAAAACACTGTGAAGGTTACCTTCAACAGTGTTTTGTTGTGAAGTTTTAAGTGTAAAAATCATGTCTCACGAAAACAAACTTTTCTCACATGATCCCGAGACTATATGCATATACAGTCAAACTAATTAAAAAAACATAAATGAATTTATTTCTTCAAACTCAACGAGAGAAAAAATGTCGTTTTTCAAGTCAGGGATATAATAGTGTCAGATAAAGCATATTAATTGCATACATTACATCTTAATCTACGAGTAAACTACAATTATTATTATTATTATGATACACGTCAGTTCAAATAAAAAGGCACGTATAAAACGTTAAGGAAAATTCATACATGAATCATGAAAAATTCTCACAAAAAATATATTTGTAAATTCATATGTGAATCGATGTTTCACATTATTCATATGAATCACATATTCATCAGTGATTCACAACGTTTTTTTACCTTTTCTTCTTACATTTTCACGTTATTTAACCTTATTATTTAAACCTGTATTATTATAATACTAGAAACGTACTCGCGCAATGCAGCGAGATACATCGTGTTTTTAATATTTCATTTTATTCTTTATCTCAGTCGATGTTATAAGGGAAAATTGCATCAAAATGGAACCAACTTTCACTTAATTCCTATTTTGGGGAACCACCTTTCAAAATCGTCATTTTGGGGAACCAACTTGCACCTGATTTTTATTTTGGGGAACCAACTTTCAAAATCGTTATTTTGGGGAATCAACTTGCACTTAATTCCTATTTTGGGGAACCAACTTGCAAAATAATTATAGAAAAATAACAAAAAAAAATTCCAAAATTTAATGCAATAAAATCTATTTTTTATTTCAAATCTTGTTTTTTTAATTCAGATATCAAATTGAACATTTAAAAAAAATCAAATAACCACAATAAAAATTGTTTTTTACTAATGCAAAAAAAATCAATTTAATAGAAAAAACAATTTTTACTAATGCAAATTACCACATTCAAGATTTTTATATCTAACCAATTGCATCAGTTAATTTTTTTCTATTAAATTGATTTTTTTGGCATTAGTAAAAAACAATTTTTATTGTTATAATTTGGATTTTTTTTAAATGTTCAATTTGATATCTGAATTAAAAAAACGAGATTTGAAATGAAAAATAGATTTTATTGCATTAATTTTTGGAAAAAAATTAATTTTAGTTATTTTTCTATAATTATTTTGCAAGTTGGTTCCCCAAAATAAGAATCAAGTGCAAGTTGGTTCCCCAAAATGACGATTTTGAAAGTTGGTTCCCCAAAATAAGAATCAAGTGCAAGTTGGTTCCACAAAATAGGAATCAGGTGCAAGTTGGTTCCCCAAAATGACGATTTTGAAAATTGGTTCCCCAAAATAGAAATTATGTGAAAGTTGGTTCCATTTTGATGCAATTTTCCCATGTTATAATATGGCTTTATGTGATTTTGAGAAAACGATGATGTTTTTATTTTTGAATAAAATATATGTTTGATGATATCATAAAAATTTGACAAAAATATATCGATATTAGTATCAAATTAACTATTTGAAATTCCTCATTTTTTTGTGTAATTTTTTAATCCAATTTTTTTATAATTTAATTTATGTACAATAACGAAATAATTTATATTTGGTTTAATTAAATAATTTTTTATAAAGATAACAATTATTTATTTTGTTGTACTCGATAATTATTCTAATTATATTTTAAATTTTTTATATTTTAAAATGAGATGTTCATCCTCTATTTGATTATGTTTATCCGCAGTTATTTATACGAATTCAAACATCGAGCTTTAATAAGTT